GCGAGTGAGCTAGAAGCGAGTGACAGTGGCTTTTGCGTCAGTGCTGTTACTTCTGCCAGGTACGCTTTGTAGCTCATTACGCTGCATTTCCTTCGAGTTTCTACTTTTACTCGTAAGAACCCATTTTTGCACCTCATCATGGTGCTGGACTCATGTGCGTTAGAGAGTACTGTATACAAAAATAATTGCATAGCTGAGAGTCATGATTAGTTGGAACTGCTATTCCAGCATTCTTGTGAGCTAACATAAGGGGCCGGAGCCTGAATAAGCTTAGTTTACTTAGATTCGTTCTCGCGAGTTCTTTCTCTCCAATTGTTGGTCACTGTTAACAGTTTTCTGTACCTTCCAAAAGCATGATATTTTAGGCTGGAATCGTGTTCTGGTCGAAGTAGTTCAGTGAGACCGGACAGTCTGCGACGTGAGCTGGAAACGATAAAAGCTCGAGAATTGGTTGCTACTGAAGCAGCAGCAGAAACACGTTCAGTTGCTGTTGCAACCGATCCACTTCCGCACAGTCGATTCCGGAATAATTCCCACTCCGGCGATGATGTATTTTTCATAATTATTAAAAAGAAGGAAATTATTTTCGCAGCATTATTAATTGCTGTTACCTCTCACTCCTGAAGGGATAGGGGTAACATTCTCCAGAGTTTTGCTGAGGCGTTTTTAGTAATCAAGTACCGTTAAGATCTTCGATGATTCTGTCTGCCGAACAGTTGTTCGGAAGCAGTATGAAGACGATTTAAAACTAGGTTCTTGCCCACTGTCAACAAACACACTATTTGAAACTACATGAAAGAAGGTTGAAAGACTTTTTATCAAAAAGGCAAACCCATAATTTCTGTTTCTTTTGTTAGTTTTTTAATTTCATCGAAACCACCAAGATAGTCGGTGTGATACTCTGCACAGGTATTTTTACTGGGAAGCTGAACATAGCTGTGTCGGGCGCTTCAATCCCAAACTGTCACGAGCAAAGTTTCTTTTAAAAAATAGTTTCGGACCGGCAGGGAATCGAAGAACTTGCCTTCACATTCGTACGCGACGTGCTAAACCACTACGTCACTGGCTTTATGACGCCCTCTATCCATACTTTCTATCGGCTGGCTCGTGCATCCCGTGCAGACACCCTTTCAACAGTTGCCGACTTTTGGTGACATTTCCGCGACATAAGCTGCATATCTCCAGTTAGTTTTCACCGCCTGTTTGATGTGTTTACAGGCGCCGAATGGTCATTTATTTTCTCGCGCTACCACTCACTGATAGGCAATGTCCATTGGTTGTCAGCAAATCGAGCAACGCAGCTTATGCATATAATTTTTCCTATGCATATAATTTTTAATTAGCTTTTTCACAATGGAATCATTTAGGTCTCTCATTTGACGGCGAGTCTGATTGTTTGTATGGTTGTTTGTCACTGTTCCTGTCTTAGCTAGTATTCGCTTCCATCACTAACCAAGTTTTGCAGTCAGACCTTATTTTGCTTTTAGCCCAGTGATGCTAAAGAGCTGGGTACCATCTTTGCGATTCGATACATTAAGGCCTCACGTCATTCTCAGTTGTTCTACGGTTTTCCTTAGTGTTTGTCGATCCTCTCCCCCTCCTCCCTCCCGTATTTCTTACTTTGATGAT